GGGGTCACACTGAGTAATGTAATAACGGTGGGCTTCTCTTTGCATTTTGGGATGAGGATTTCCTGAGCGTTCCCTGCAGTCTCATGAACAAAAAGTGAAAAGTTCAAAGTTGTAATCAGGAAAGCCCACAGCCAGGGGTACTAATTAATGCTTTTTCTGGTCGCTATAGCGTCGCTCAGAGTCAGAACTGACTTGATGGCAGTGAATTTGGTGAGCTTTTTTTCTGGTTAGGTGACCATCTTTGGTTGGTTGACGAGGGAATAGGCCCTGAATTCCCAATAATGGCAAAGAAGTTGAACAAGTCAAGTAAGTATTGGTATCCAAGTCCTTCAGTAATCACAAAGTTCTAGAAACTTAAAAAAAAAAGACAGACTAAGATCTCTAAGATCGTTTCTATCCTTCTGTGGTTTATAAGAACCTCTTGTCTGCAATGACACATCCCAAGTATTTAACGGAAGGTTGGACTGTCACTTTTCTCTGGAGGCTCCTTTGTGACTCTACTTTTCTCTGGAGGCTCCTTTGTGACCACCTACGGACAATTAAAGCAACAGGCTACTGTAGTGAAGACGTACCTCTTGAGAAAACAGATCCGTACATTGATTCAGAGATTTAACTAGACAAAAAGGGCTTTTCAGTTTGTTGCTTAAAGGTTCTGAGGGCTGCCTGAGACACTGGCCTTGGCTTGAGGTTTGAAACCTCGGGCTTTGGCACCAGGTGCTTCTCGCCGTGTCACAGACCCAGCGCGTCACACCTGGGGGGTTGAGAGGCCAGCATAATAGCCCATGAAGACCTGGACACTCCAGCCCTGCCCTAATTCTAGCCTGGGCCTGCACCTGGTAGTTCTCCTCTGCTGTCTGCTGGCGCCCTCCAGCCACCTAGGCCACTTGTTATGTTTATTCCCAGGGGGTAGTTGAGCAGCCTCTGCAGCACCCACATCTTCAGCGCCAGCCACATAGATGGCAGCCTGGCCCCAGCTGTGGCCACACATTCCAGCTGCTGTTGGTGCCAGCTGAGGAGAAGGAGGTGCTGTTGCTGCAGCTGCCAGGGCGCGAGGTGCCACACTGATCCAGCCCTGCTAGGGCAAAGGCGTGGGTGGGGTGCTGGTGATGCAGGGTGAAGCAGCGAAGGCCCTCCCTCAACCTCCTTCCTTTCAGCCTGAAAGGCCACTTAAATTGTTCTTTCCCCCGGAACCAGGGTGAGCTCCCTTCCCTGTGGGGCACACTCCCGTGGTGTGGTCAGTTAATCAGCTGGGCGGCAAGATGGAAGGGTCCAGTGAACATGTAAGTCCACCAGGCCAGGTTTAGATGTGTCAGCTAAAACAAATCCCTCTTTAGAGGAGGACTTGTGGGGAGCCATCACAACAGTTAGGGGACTCTTTTACAAAGTTCTACTTTGGGCTAAGGGGTGACATGAGATTTCTGAAGTCTGTCTGGCTATCTGACTTTGGCAGACATCCCAGATGTGATTTTTTTTCTTTTTCTCCTCTTGTAAAAGGTTATTTAGGATAATCTGGATGTTTATTAGGGATGTCTTCTGCAGAATAGAGCGGTACAGCGCCCCCCACCTGCTCCTGAAAGTCACAGCAGGAGAGTCAAAGTAGAGGAGAGAGCCCAGGACTCTGCCATTTGGGGGACGGGAGGGCATGCAGGTGCTGAATCCGGGTAGGCCATCTGGCAAGAGGGCAGAGGTGTGCCATTTTAACCTCTGCAGCTTGTTTCAGAATGGTCTCCTGCAGGAAGATGAATGTATTCTTATTGTTTTCCTTGAGAAGCTTCCAAGCACCGATTTTAAACAATGTCTCTCATTGCTAGGGTCTGATATGGGCCCTACTAATTGATTGCACAAGAAGGTTAATTCAGTGGAATGACCTGAATAGTGGTCTTTTAAGTTTCCTTCAGAAAGTGCATACCAGTGGCCTAACTAGAAGACTGGCCTAGAGTCCTATTTCCCGTTGGTATGAGGTACAGGGATGCTCCTAGGGGATCCTCCTTCCATCTTGGGTCTGGCATTCCCCCACCGGAGAATGTTTCAGCTATTAAAGGACTGATGCACACAGGAACTTTGTGTGCAGCTGGATAGAGATTCGGGAAGTATAATAAACTGGCCACTAGATGGCAGACCCACCAAACAATTGGGCAGTAAATCCCACAAGGTACTCCCAGGAGATGGGTAGAAATTGAAGATAGTCTCGCAGAAAGCTGTCTTTGAAACAGAGGAGATTAAAAATGCAGCAGGCTTACCTTAAACAGCCTCTGGAATTTCAAGACCATCTGAGTGCAAGGGGCGCACAGTACCCAAGCAGTCATGTCCCAAGACATTGGAAATGTCCAAGGTAAAGCTGCTTCAGAGCCTGCCGGCTGCGCCGAAGGAGAGCAATCTGTCTGCTGATAAACCCAAACTGGAGATGACCAAAATATGCCACCAAACAATGTCGCACAACTGGACAGGATTGACAGACAGCTCAATTTGGGGCGAGGCTGAACTCCAGGGGTCAGTACCAGCAGTGCAAAGAGGCAACACTGCAGGGACAGGTCACAAGGAGCGCCTCGCACCGCACGTGCAGCGCTTGATCGGTCGTTTAAAACGAGATCAGTGGCAGGTGGGATTTCCTATAGCGGAGCGTGATGACAATTGGTCTCGTCGATTTATGACATTGTGGCAATCACAAGGGTATGTGTGACAGGAGGGCAGTCAGGTTGCTCTGTCCTGGTTACCTTTCTGAGGAAGACCCTCTGCAGCAGAGCCTGTTCGGGAAGGCCTTTGTCTAAGAGGCTGAGGTCAGACTCGGTGCTGTATCCCAGAAGACAGCCTGTCCAGGTTTCACTATTAGCCTGTATTGGAAGATGGCTGTTGCTAGGGGGAAGCAGAGTTCTCAAAAGGAGACTTCCACGTCAGCCTTTCCAGATTTTAAATACCCTCCCATGAGGAGTAATAAACTTACCGATTTGAAAAAACTGTTATTTCCCTAACCTGGTTTAGTATTTTGTGATGATTAAACTCTAGAGTATGGATTACACCTCAACATAAAAAATTCGCACAACTGGACCAATAACAAACACGATAAATTGAGAAGATATGGAAGGAGGGATTTCATTTTACTTGGATCCACAAAGAATGCTCATGGGAGCAACAGTCAAGAAATCAAAGGGCGTGTTACACTGGACAAATATGCTAAACAGGCTCTCTTTAGAGTGTTGAGGTATGTATTGTGATGAATTGTATGAGCCCCAATAAATTGATTTAAAAAAAAAAAAGAGTGCTGAGGAGCAAGGATGTAATTTTGAGCACTGGTGCGTCGGTCTCACACCATGGGGTTCTCAGATGCTGCACATCTATGTGAGTGATGGACAAGGGGTAAAGGAAACCTAGAGTCGATGCATTTGAGTTAGAGTGTTGGCACGGCATAGTGACCGTGCCAAGGATTGCCCGAGAATAAGCAGCTCTCTCTCGGAAGAAGTACGGCCAGGCGCCCTTGGGGGTGAGGAATGCAGTACTTTGTCTCAGGTCCTTTCCACGTGCTACAGGAAGGCCTCCAGGCTTGGAAGGTTAAGGAAAATGAGGAGACTCAGCAAGAGAGAGGGACCCCCTGACTGCGCACCAATGATTCCAGGGCAGTCACCAGCGTGAGGGCGGCCAGCCTCGGCTGGGTCTCCTCTGCTGAGCACAGGGCCCCTAGGAGCCAGAATGGGCCTCGCGGGCCCCTGGCCACCATCCGCCAATGGAGGAGTGCCCTGCTAGAGCCATGCTGACACTGCCTCACGCGGCTGCCGGGAAGCATGGCGCTTCAACACATGACGATACACGTTTGAAGTTCATGTGAAATTCAGTTGACACAACACCGAGCAAGCTGTAAGGTTTCATCTAGAAAATGTCAGTCACCAGGGAAAGGTGACTTACCAAATGGAAATGGAAGCTAAATGGTCTGAAAACGATGATCCTTGCCTCAGGTTTTTGATGCCGAGGCATTTGGATCACTGGTGGCACAGTGATTAAAGCGCCTGGCTGCTACCCAAACGGTTGGCCGTTTGAACCCACCAGCTGCGCTGCGTCTGGGACACCTGACGGGGTGTGTGTGTGTGTGTGACACCCGGCGGGGTGTGTGTGTGTGTGTGTGTGTGTGTGTGT